AAGCAACTCTGTACGACCAGTGGTTTTCAAGATATAGCTCCCTATATTTCCACCCCTAATTGGCATATTTATGCTAATAAGGTCGGCAAAATGGCACTTCCGGTCATTTTTGAAGAAAATGTTCCATTAGGGAAAATAGAAACACGCATGTTCTGAACAACTTTAAGAAAGAAGCAACTTTCTACGACATGTGGTTACCAAGATATAAGTACCCTACATTTTCAGAACTAATTTGCATATTCAGCTAATTTGCATATGAAGATGAGCGTAAAAAAATTGGCGACTCATTTTATTTGATTCAGCATACTTCAAAGTATATAATTAAAAAAAAAATGATCACGAAATTCCCAAAGGATGACATAAGCCACCGGACTACTATACCAACGTTTATTCTAAGGATTCAGTGGAGAAAATTCTGGTTTATTGCTCAAAATGCGTTAAAAATATGAAGTTGAATGAATTTTTCTTACTGTGAGACTGCTGTAGTTGTCATACAATGATAAAAAAAAAATAAGTGTCCCCTTAATAGGGGTTACTTGACCATTTGGTACATTCAGAAAGTGTCCCCGTCCCCTTTATAAGGGGTGTCCCCTTAATATTATAGGGGTCGGCCGTAGTGTTAAAAGATATATTGCCCTTCGTTTCACGGAAAAGTGTCCTCTTAATATTATGAGTGTCCGCTGAATAGGGGTGTCCCAAAGGAGGGTTTCTACATTATTACTGTAGCGAACTGTGCATGCTAAGTTCTAATTTGGTTCGATACTGATGAGTTTAGTTAAGGCGCTCGAAAGTATATGACAAAAGCTTATTTCATCGATTTAAGATAAATAATGTAGAATATATATATTCCCCCCCCCCACCCACAAATAGTGGTTTGTTTTTCTCCCTGACAGGTGCCCTGGTCCCAGACGCCGCCTTTGGCGCCACACCTGACTGACTCTCCCACATCTCCAAGTGTAACTCTTTTACGAGGCCGGTCAATACTACCACTTTGGCAATGATATAATTATTCTTCGCTAAGGCATTCATAAGGCACTTTGCCTCAATAGTGTCCTCCGCTTAGTTACATTGCACCGTGTTTTTCTTCCCCGTTTTTTATTTTTTTTTTTTCTTGTTGAACTGTTTGATTTTTACTGTTTTAATATACGATTATCTGCACTGTTCAAGTTTATTATTATCTTTATATATCTATATATTGCTTTGAATGTTTGTTGTTACTTAAATATTACCATGTTCAAATTTAACATTTGTATTAACTACAATTACAATATAAATCTTCAAAGGTACATATACAGTGTTTAAATAAGGACATGATGGAACATCGTAGGCTACCTTGTAGCTTTTGAACGAATAAAGTCCTATAATAGTCATTGTGTAATAAAATGCCTCCGACGGGATTCGAACCTGCGACCTCTCGCTGACAAGGCGAGCGTCATAACCACTAGACCACGAAGGCTTCATGGTTGAACAGGTCCAAATAACCGTCAGGAACACTGTATTACACAACGCTACGCCCCAAGAGGGCGTTCGGCCAGATAAATCTGGCAATACGGCTAGAAATACTTTCGTATATTATATATGATATTGAATTGAATAGCATATAATTACAATGTAAGTATACTGCTGTTTACATGTACGTTTGTTTAACCATTATACCTCCATGTTTTAAATATTGTTATGTGTTATAATTAATTTGATAACAAAAATAAATATTAACTATAAATGAGTAAATTCAAATGAAGTAATATTAATGGCTTAATGTATGTACAGTAATTCATATTGTCTTTTTATGTCTGTTGTTACTTATATATTACAATTTAAATATTGTTGTGTTTGTGCAGTTGATTTAATAAAGATATAATGAAAGAAATGACATAATCTTGATGTATTCCTTGTATTTACTACTGCTACTATGGCGACCTCGGTCGGACTCCTATGATGGCTTTCCATGTTGTTCTGTCAGTTATGGTTTTTTTCAAGTTCCGTAGAAGTCAGACCAGTGTCCTTTTTCAGAATGTCCAGGTATGTTGTTGTTGGACGTCCTGGTCTTCTGTATCAATGAATAGGCTTCCAATATTCAATGCATTTGAAATCATCACCCTACTTGACGTGCAGCTTCCTCTACTTCCTTTAATAGTTTATGGGCTTGTTCATTGTGTTTGAGACTAATCCAATATCATCAGCAAACTAAATAATTATGTTACTACCTTTGGTCCTATTCTCGTTGTTTGTCGTGGTCTGATGATAAATCCCAATTCTTCCTCCCTACGACTGGTAGCCATCCGTAAGCAGTAGTCTAGGGTAATGATAAACAAGTAGGGTGCGAGAGTGACACCTTGTAAAACACATGATATTAAATAGTTTGGTCTCCGGAGAGATGACTTTGGTTTGTGTGTTTCTGTATGTATCTTCAACAGCCTCTACGATGGTTTTAGGGATACCATAAGGTGCAAGTTTGAATCATCTTTCCTCTATGTATGGTATTAGATGCCTTCTTGTAGTCAAGAAATGTAATTACAGCACTGAGATTATTGCCATTTATTTATTCTATCCTTCTCAGGGCCAGAACGTGTGATATTGTTGATCGTCCTCCTCTAAATCCGTTCTGGTTTATTCTGAGGATATCGTTTATGTGTGGTCTTAGTCGGTTGAGTATCATTCTGATGTATGTCTTTGCTACAAGTGAGCTCAGACAGATGCCGAAGGTTTCAGCCTGATGTTCTGGTAAAGCAGTTCTCAACTCCGACCTTCAGAATCCATATGCCCGAGACTATTCGGACAACCAAAATGCATAAAGCGGACTTTCCACTACGGCCCATCGTTTCTCAACTTACCCTCTCGCCAAGTATCTTGCTAGGATACTGTATTCACTGGTAAGCAACACTGGTCATCATGTAAACAACTCTCAACACTTTGTGAAGACCATCCGGGATGTTTATCTTGAATCTACAGAGCGCCTTCTTCCGTTTTTTGTTTTTATTTTCTTTTTTGTACTTTGGATAGTATTTAAATTCGTGTTTTATAAGGGTGGGAAATGTCCTGGGAAAATTGTCCTGGGGGGGAGGGGTGGCGCAACAGTCCGGGGAAAATGTCACGGGAGGTAAATGGCCGGGGGAAATCAGCCTAGATCTATTTATTGTTATGTTACTTTTGGAGTAAGGAATCTTAACTTTTTTTTACAGTGATTTAGTTCACTTTTTCGTTCCCGCCTACTCCATGAGTTGACTGTCTTTGTGTTTGTTTGTTTTGTTGTTGGCTATAAAGAATAAGAATTACCATGACCCAGAATGTTAGCAATGTTATTATTACTTTTATGATTTTCAGTAACGCATGAGTTATACTTTATAGACGGGTGGTTATTTCCTTTTAAATTGAGTAGGCATTACCTAGCAAGAGCTCAGATGTTTAGACCTTTTCAAACGACATTCATTGACATCTACAGAGATTATTCGTGTTTTGTGAGACCATCCTACAATAAAGTGTTAGTAAGTATATTATATTTTCTTCAATCAGACCCATCCCCTGAAAACATCTGAAACAACCCACTTCAAAACAAATGTGAGAGTATAACGATTCAAAAATTTGCGTTTTTAGCCTGGTAGATAGATAGATATTTACCTAATGTACAGGCAAGTCATTCCAATTTCGGTGCAGCAACAAAATGCTATATACCATACGTCTTGAGTTGGCTAGATGTGTAGAACTTTGAAACCGTTGGCATATAATTTACAGTGGCGTAATCAGTGCATGTTTAGGCGGAACCAGACTCCCGATCTCCACGGGCCAATCCTCAGGTGGCCCGTCCCCTAATAAAACATTCAATAAAGTAATGCATAAATAAAAGTCTGGATTGATAGCAATAATATTTATATAATACTGTACAATATAATTGTTAATAACTTAAAAATAATCAATTATACATGACTAGGCCCCTATGCGTAGATATCATCGTGATGGTT